AACTACTCTTTCACCTTCTTCTTCATCGCTGAGTTCTAGGGTTTTCTCACCCGCGCGTCTGCCGTCCGCCGCACCTCTCCTCTTGTCGACTCCCCCATCCGACGCGCCTGTCCTCTCGTCGACTCCTCCGTCCACCATCCAACATTCATTCCCCTTTTGAGAGAGAGAGAGAGAGAGAGAGAGAGGACAGGAGGATCTTCCTTTCTTTTTCTCCCCCCCCACACATTCGTCGCCTCTTTTTTTATCTCAAATTTCTAGGGTTTTGATCTTATTCGATTCGTGTTTTAATGGCGAAGAAGAGGAAATCCGACGCGAATCGCCTCGACGAGGTCGAGCGAGGGACGTACTCGACCTTCTGCAGCGCGGCGAACTCGCTATCGCAGATCTACACGCAGGCGATGAATTAGCAGAAGGTCTCGTTTCAAGCCGGAGAACAACACGCGTTGGTTCGTCGATCGATCTCTTCTCTATTTTTTTTCTCTTTTGACCGGGTGACGGTAAAATTGACCGAGGTTTTGCGGTCTGGATGGGTTTCTTGATTGTGGATTGGTTTTGTGCGTTTGTTGTGTTCTTTTATGTTCGCATTTTGTCTCTTTGATCGTGGTTGTGTTTGCTTGTAACTGAGAAAGATTGGGTATTGTGAAAGTATCGGTGAAGATGCACTCTTTGATGAAGCAAAATGGGGCTGTTTTGAAGTCTGGTTTAATTTGGGGAAGGGAGAAATGGAACGGAAATATAATGTTTAATAGGAGAAAGTTAAGTTCATACCAATAGTTCAGGAGTAACAACTTTAGTTTCATTGTACAGGAGGAATGACGAGACTGGAAGATGCATTGGGTGGATCTCAAATTTAGTTCTTTGTTAAAGAATAAGTAGTTATTTTGTTGGGGTATCTGATATGAGCTGAAGAACGAGTCCTATTTTATTATGACATGGTTTCGGCCAAATTATCTCACATGGGTTTTGCTTCTACCAAAATTATCAAGGTTATTAACTGTTGGTGCTTTATATTGTTGATTAGTCATTGACGGGGGACTCAGTTTTCGAGTTATTTCAAGTTACGCTTTCATTGAGAGCATAACCTGTTAATGAAATCACTTGAAATGCATATAGATATATCTCACTCAACCATCACGGCCACCACATTACCTTTGGCAGGATGTTATGCAGAGGTAGGTGAGTTATGAATATTTTAATGTCATCATCTGGCAACCTGATTGCTCTTCCTTTAGAGATGACCAAAATCACCAAAAATACTGATAAGCTCATGTTCTTATGTCTTTACCAAAAGGAGTAAATACTATAAAACATTGCAATAAAATATGCGAGTATTTAAATTTTGGCATAAAGGGTATCGGGGCAGTCGGAAGTCATACGTTTAGACACCGTACGTGATTTGAAATATGCGTTAGTTACATCACTTAAGTTTCTTGTTCTTCTGTGTTAATTACATGTATATAATTATTCTAAGCTTTTCAGCAGGTTATATAGGACAGCAAAGGATCCAGTATCAATATAGTAGATCTTTGTATCCATTCTTTCTTTTATGATTTGTGTCAAGCGTCGTATGCATCGCTTTTTGAATGAATCTATTTGCAATTTAAGGGAATTGTGGGCTAGCCAACTTCTAAGGGGAATTATTAAAGTTGTGAAGCTTGATTTTAAAACTGTAAGGGAGTTATTAAAGTTGTGAAGTTTGATTTTAAAACTGTAACGGGATTTAAGGACATGTCAATGTTGATTCGATTTCATATGAGAGGAACATATGGACTTTGAATATCAAAGAAACATATGGACTTTGAATATCAGTGCATTGTTAGCAGAGAAGTGAATTGGTCGGTTCATTGGTTATCTCTAATTTGGAAAATCATGTATATTTCTTACCTGATTGCACTTTGTATACAATATCATCTGCGAAGTTTGCTACTCAAGTTTTCCCTCGTTGTTCTTTTTGTTCTTCTATTTCTCATTCTATCCATGATTCTATTTATCATTCAGATGAGAGAAGAATGGTGCTAAGTGAAAGGATTCTAAACTACAGCTTGTTCTTCTCTTTATACTTTATGCAGGAGAAACTGTATCAGTGGATATTGAGACAACACGAAGAAACATCAAGAGTGACAGCAGCTGATATAGTTGCCTACTTACGGGTTCTATCTCTACTCGTCCTTTTATTTCTGTAACATTTTGTGGTACATTATTTTCTTACTTTGTTGTTGTAGTATGTTCTATAATACCTGAACTGTTCAATAACATTTTGCTATTAAATATATTAAGTCATATATTTATCATCAATATGATTGTTTTCTTGCTTATGTTCATATTTATTTGGTTTTCATATGCATGCTAACTGCTGTAACGACATTGCTTGATGATTTTCTCTATGGAGTGCAGGTGACTTTATAAGTTGAACACGATTCACCAAGATGCCTATTGCTAAATATACAATGATTGTGGGCCATTGACAATGATTCAATATGCCCAAATGGTTATTTGATTGGTAAGGCACAATAAAGTTGTTGGTTTAGCTTCTTGAAGAATTTTGTGCATTATGCATCTTGTATTGACATAATCGCTATGTATTGTTTTGTTGCCTGACTATTTTTTTCTGGTTGCAGGCTTGTGAACAAGATAAATAATTCAATAGGGCAAGATCCTAATTCGAAGGTTTTGATCGGGGTGTTGGATATTTATGGTTTTGAAAGTTTCAAGATGAACATGTGCTTTACCAGTATGCTTTTGGGTTTGTCACTAAGGTTGTCAAAACTTTGGGTGAGATTTGGACAATGCAAGCTTAACCATTACATGATAAGTTAGTTTTAAGTTAGTTTTTAAAAGTGATTTCTTAGTAGAAGTTTTAATTTATCTTAGACTTGGCCTTTGTGCCATTCCCGTTTAGAAATTTGTTCTCTCCTAAGTCAACCCGTTCTTTTCTTAAACTTATACTTTAGAGTTGTTATGAATTGATGTGATAGTTATTGCTCTTGCTGACCACTATGATGATATTATCTGACTAGCTACTAGTTGAACCTATTTTTGTAATTTTTCACAGTCGATTTTTATTACTGTAAGTTTTTCTTCCAGCTTTGAACAATTCTGAATTTGACAAATGAAAAGGTACAGCAACATTTTAATCAGGTCTGAAAGATTCTCCACAAAAGCTACAACAACAATTAGGAATTATGATGGACCTTTATCCTTCTACCATTCGTGTCTCTTCTATTCTACTTGTGCTTACTCTTAATTTCATTATATACCTAAATATGATCGTCATGCAATTAGTTATGACTCTAAAGAGACACATACAATCCATTTCATTCTACTTGTGCTTACTCATCTTTTTATCTTGATATATGCAGGAAAACATCTGAAGATCCATGCTTGTCGCTCTTTGGGGGATTTATTTGTTGTGAAGATTTAGAGAAGATTTAGAACTTAATCGTCTCAATAGAGACATTTTGGCCTTTTGATTAAGTAGTAGCTCTTTGTTTTAATCATGGAGGATTTGTGATATGTGCTTAATTTGGTTAGTTTGTGTGTAAAACTTGTGAAGAATTATCTCAATCCTACTGCTATAATATTGTTCTTCGTTGTAATGAATTGTTTATTATATTAAGGCTAAAGTTTGGTTAGTTTGTGTGTAAAACTTGGACTATTGTTTTTTTGTATGTGATGGACTGATGTGTGATATTTGGGTGATTTATTTTGATCAGTAAAAAATGAAAACCGTCCCCTTTGGTATAAAAACCGTCCCCATAGATCACAAACAAAATCGTTCCCATAGACAATATAACCGTCCTCTTAGGTCAAGCTCGAAACCGTCCCCATTCGTATAAAAACCGTCCCCATAGATAACAAAAAAAATCGTTCCCATAGACAATATAACCGTCCTCTTAGGTCAAGCTCAAAACCGTCCCCATAGATAAACCGTCCCCAAATGTTACAAACGGGGACAATTCAAGAACCGCGCTACTTGAATCATGAACTGTCACGTTAGACCAAGCACTACGGCGGCAAAGGTATCGGATGAGTAACCGTTCCCTTAGGCCTATGGAGACGGTTATGTTGTCTAATGGGATGGTTATCAACCGTCCCCATAGACCCATTTTTTGGTAGTGATTCTTTCAGGGATGCAGTGGAGGGCACAAGCAATTCCAAGGCTATTATCGGTGGGCAGCTTGGAGAGTTGGGGTTGCAAGGGATCGATGAGTTGAGCTCAGTTGCAAGGGAGATGGTGAGGTTGATTGAGACAGCCACAATACCGATCTTTGCTGTTGATTCCGATGGGAAAATAAATGGGTGGAATGCTAAAGTTGCTGAGCAAACTGGATTGTCTGTTGATGAAGCCATGGGGAAATCATTAGTTCAAGATCTCGTCTTTGGGGAGTCTAGAGATGTTGTTGAAAAGCTTCTGAGCCGAGCCTTAAGAGGTATTGTGCTTCTAAGACTTCTTTCATTATGTTTTAAAAAAGAAAACTTAGTTGCTCCACAGTCCCAACCCTTTGATTCCCCCAATATTTGCTTCGGATGAGAACACATGTTGCTCAGAGTGGAATACACAATGCAATCGAGGGTCAGGAGACAGACAAGTATCCATTTGCATTCTTTGATAAGAATGGCAAATTTGTATAGGCATTATTGACGGCAAATGCAAGGACTAAAATTGATGGACATATAATTGGAGCATTTTGTTTCCTACAAATAGCTAGTTCTGAACTGCAGCGGGCTCTTGAAATCCAGAGGTAGCAGGAAAAGAAATGTTTTGCAAGAATGAAAGAGCTCGCTTACATTTGTCAATAGATCAAAAACCCGCTCAGTGGTATTAGATTCACTAACTCATTGCTGGAGATGACAGATTTGTCTGAGATCAGAAGCAGTTTCTTGAGACTATTGCATCTTGCGAGAAGCTAATGATGAAGGTTGTGAGGGATTCTTGCTTGGAAAGCATTGAGAACGGGTAAGGGATTCACTAATATTTTCGTTTTTGATTAGGTAATTTTTTATAAATCTTCAATAAGGGCGAAAGTTGTATTTTTTTAAAAAATAATGAGATTAATCTCCTTAACCCCTCTTCATTTACCAAACACAAAAGACTTAACCCCTTGTCTTAACTATCGTATCCAAACGGGTTTAGGATTTTTTTAACCCTTCACGATGGATTAACTAAGTTAACCCTTCTCTTTAATCCCTCCTCCTTAACCCTTTGCCAAACGGGACCTAAGGGTAATATTTCCTGTTTCTTTCATTTTGGGACCCAAAATTCCAGGATTTGCTGGTGCATGTAATCAAATGGAAAAATGGCTGGCTACCGCATTCGCGCGCACTCACATGCACCGTCTTTAAACATGCAACTGTTGGTGCAAACAGAGTTGGAACTCACCTGCAGGACAACGAAGTGACCTTATTGATATCCTACGTCCATCTCCAAAAACGAATCAAGTAGCATTATACTTGTCAACTAATCCGCATTTCCTTTGTTCCCGTTAATTAATAAGTTATACGAAGCAATAAAAAATTACAGGGAAAATATCAGAAAACTCTCATTAATTAACTTTGCATGATTTTCAGATAAGCATCCACAAATTTCATAATATCAAACTTAAATGTAAAGGCTACCAGAAAATTACCTCCTCCAACTTTAAGATTCTATCGAAAAGCCTCCCAACAACATTATGTTAGATCTAAACCAAAAACTTAAGATCTAAAACCATATAGCCATGATTAATTCGAAGAGATTAACAAGAATCTAAAAGAACGGAAGCTTATACCTGAATCCATAGATGAAATCTTGATTTGGGTTTTTGATGATCTTCTAATCTTACGTCTCGTTTGGTACGCGGGAATGAGGAGGAATGGAATGCAATTCCCACTTCTCATTCCCTCATACCAAACACACCTATATTTTAGATGTTGGAATGACCATTCCCTAGGAATGATCATTCCCACTATTTGTGGGAATGAGCATTCCAAGTGAGAAGATAAGGAATGGTCATTCCCATTCAAGTGAGAATCAAAAACTAGTTAGGTATTTTTTAATTATATCCATATTAATAATAAAGAATGTTTGGGTGAGGCGCTATGCAAGTGGGCAATTTTAGATTGACAATTTAGGCTAGTATATCATTTTGCTATTTCGAAACTTATTATTTTAGTTGGTATTGTTTTATGGATTTTTGCTATTATGAATTGAGTGATTTTGATACTTTATCAAATAAGTTAATTTATATATCTAGAACTGTGGATTGTGGATATCATTCTTTTTTTTTTTGGCCCTATGAAATATACGATAATCTTTTTTTTTCTTTAATTTTTAAGACTAAGAAATAGCGAGTATTGTTTAAAAAATATAAACGAAACATACACCTGATGGATAACACGAGCATTAGTATAACACATACCTAGATTAATATAACATATGCGTATATAAAATTATTTAGTTATTATCATTAATGTTTATTTTTTATCTTATTAAAAATCTATGTTGTTGTAAGGGCATTATTAGAAAATGAGATTTCATTCTCACTTGTGTACTAGTGATACCAAACATGGGAATGGGAATGAGATTTCCATTCTAGCTTCATTCTACGAACGCACCCAAACAAGAGAATGAGAATGACCATTCCATTCCCACATGCAATCCATTCCATTCATTCTTCCATTCCATTCCCAAGTCTGTCCATTCCCGCGTACCAAACGAGGCGTAAGTTTATACTCTTAGCACAATAATAAACCTACAAGGGAAGCCATCTTTAAAATTTTTCGCGGTTTCTATTCTTTGGGCCGATTACTTCACCTACTAGGAGAAAGAGGTTAAGTAAACAGGGGAGAGAGCTGGGCTTGTCATTTGGCAGGCCCGATTGGGCTGCACCAACCAAAGAAGCTTATATAATTTTTATTAAATTCTACCAAATTTTATATTTTTGGATGGAAAATAGATTTTGTCGCTTTACTTCGCCTCTTCTCCAAAATTCCAGATCTGAAAAAATGAGGCCTAAGGCTTGTATTTATAGGCATGAGGGGTTGCGGAGCGGTTAAAACCGCTTTAGGGGGTCAAATCCGCGTTGAGACACCCTTGGGGTGTCTTGACTTAGCCAAGACACCGTAGGTGCCTCAGTTCAGCCTTGAGACGTTTTCAATGCTCGTTTGACTGTTTTCGCTGTAACTTCTCCGTTTGAACTCGGATTTGAGTGACTCCAAATACGTTGGAAAGCCGACAAGGAGTTCTATCAGATCCAATGCTTGGATTATCTGTAGAATGAATGAGACACGAAGGGCATTGTTCTCTTTGTAAACATTGCGGGGCTCCCGATTAGCCCGCACCTTCGTTATTCCGGAATTCTGTCAGCTCACGTAGTTCGTCGATTCACTTCAAGCGTTCACCGACGTCAATCGAACTCCTGTGAACCGGATAGTGATGTTCATCGTCATTCCTTAACACTGAGCTGTTCGTACAGACCTATAGGCAATTTTCGATGCCTACAGATACCCCCTCCAAAGCGTTCCGGACTCGTTTCTTTTATAGAAGAGGCTGGAATACTTTGGATGTGATTGGTCTAGCCTTCAGTCGGCGTAAAGGACCTGTAGTTAGCTTCAACTCTTGACTCCTTCGATTTTCGGTCTATCCAATGCTTTGACGAATAGCCGAAGTTCTTCCGGCGCTGCGTTTATCGCTTGGCCGTCGTCGGAGTCTCGAGTCTACAGCTGATGAATTGAGTTTGGCTCGTATCATTGAGTTGACTTTGAACTACCTCCGTCATCATTGTGTTGACTTAGGGTTTTATATCACCGTATGTTGACTTTTTATCGCAACGCGTTGACCGGCGTTGACCGGCGTTGACCTTAGGGTTACGCGTTGACCGGCGTTGACCCTAGGGTTTCGAGCGTCGAACTTTGACTTTTTGGTCGCAACGCGTTGACTAGCGTTGACCTAGGGTTACGCGTTGACTGACGTTGACCCTAGGGTTTCGAGCGTCGAACTTTGACTTTTTGGTCGCAACGCGTTGACTGGCGTTGACCTAGGGTTACGCGTTGACCGGCGTTAACCCTAGGGTTTCGAATGTTGTAGGATGATCAAGTCACGAGACCAACTAATGAAGCTGATGCGTCAGTGACTCTCGCATTTATAGGATTTTTGGCAAACCCCCAGCCATCAACGGGTTTGATGAGCCTTTACCGACTACCGTTTGAGTCGGGCTAGCAACGGTCTTAGTGCTACGATATTGAATACGTAGACTTCGTCTTTCTCACGGGAATAGACTACCCGGCGACGCGTGTTAGGCGTTGACTTTGGGATTTTTGGCTAACCCCCAGCCTTCAACGGATTTGATTAGCCTTTACTGACTACCGTTTGAGTCGGGCTAGCATGCAGATTGTGTAGATCCGTCCCGCACGTGACGTTGTGCTAAGAGAGTTAACACTCTTAGTGCTACGATATTGAATACGTAGACTTCGTCTTTCTCACAGGAATAGACTACCCGGCGACGCGTGTTAGGCGCTGACTTACCCCTCCTTAGGCTTCGGGATAAAATGCCCCAGAATCGAACTCTGGTGTCTTCTTCATACGGAAAAAGACTAAATCGGCGACACGTGTTAGGCGTCGGCATATCCTTTCTTAGGATTCATGATGAAATTTCCCATGCGTGTAAAGCATGGATTTTGGTGTTATTAATAACAACCTGCCACAATGTTGAATATGCGGACGGGTGTTCTTTTTAACGGTTAAGAACTAACCGGTAGCGCGGGTTAAGCGCATACTTATCCCTACTTAGGTTTCAGGATAGAATACCCCAGAATCGAACTCTGGTGTCTTCTTCTTCGGAGAAAGACTAAACCGGTAATGCGTGTTAGGCATTGACTTATCCCTACTTAGGATTCGGGATAAAATTCCCTGTACCCGTGAGGCACAGATTTTGGGAGTTAAAAAAGGTGGTGTCTTCTCTTGGGGCAAAGACTAACCCGAAAATGGGAGAGGAATAATTTTATATTCTATCTCCCGATACTGAAGAAGAAGAATTTTATATTCTATCTTCAGCTAGAAAGGAGACTCGGGGTGGGATCTCCACCCCCAGAATCCGGAAAGATGAAACTAGGAGTGGGACCTCCACTCCGAGAATCATTTGACCAGATTATATCCGGACTCTAACTATGAAAGTGTTGAGTGCACGAACATAGCGGAAGTTTGAATAGATTGATAGAATTTGGTGGTCCCACCGTCAATTAGTCTGATCGGTAGGGGACTTAGTGTTCATCACTTTGTTCATATTGATCGGGTGATCCCCAAGAGTATTAGCATTCTTTCGGGAACTTCCCGTTACACGAATTATCCACCCCCAGCTTTCTTGCAAAACTGGGTGTAACGAGGAGTACGTTATCCTCAATCGCATGTTCAGGTTATCCTTGAGAATATATGATTCTCTAGGAACTTCCCGTTACATAAACTGGTTCGGATATTATTCTCGGTTACCTGACCGGGTTATCCTTAAGAATATTAGCGTAATATTCTCCAGGAACTTCCCGTCAAAAGTGGGAAACAGTTTAGACTCATATACCTATTGGAGTATGTAGGGAGCAGTTTAACCTCATGCACCTGTTGGAGGATTGAGAAACAGTTTATACTCGTATACTCTTCAGAGTGTTAAGAAGCAGTTTATACTCTTATACTTGTCGGAGTGTTAA